CACAAGAATTGCATGGTCAGGACCGGCGGATTATCGTGCCCGACAGCACCGACATCTCCTGTACAACGGAAACCAAGTTCACCCCGTAATGGCACTCGATAGAGCGACAAGTCTATTTATTCGGGAACCCAACGATCAGCAAGGGCACTGACCGAATGGGTGCAACTCCAATCACCTTGAGGGAAAAGAGGTGGAGGAGAAAGAGATGCAGAAAAGGAATATAACGAATTTATCGTACATGCAGCGAAGTTGAACAAATCCAGCTTGCAAGGACCGAATATCCACTTTTTAAAAGAAGTCGAGAAGCAAACATTCTAGCTCTTCTCTCGTGCTTTTCAATGGGGCATGCACCGTAACATCATGCATTATCAGCGCACGTTGCACTGCCGCACTGCTCAACGTTTCATGCTATAGATATTTCGGCTCGGGATTTGCAACTTCCTGCCACCTAGACCGTCCGACACTGCTCCCACGGCAATCGGGTCTCCCATCATAGGTTTGCACATCGGTCACAAAAGCACAATCCCGATCCCGCCCCTCTTACTCTCATCCGGCATGTTCTTCTCGTTGATGCCACCATTGATCGGCTTGGTCCGCCAATTGTACAAGTAGTGATGCAGCTGGCCATCACCGGCGCCAAACTTCAACTGTTCCAGAAACAGGGGATTGTCGTGGAGCGTCAGGGCATTGAAAACGTCGAACTTGGCCTGGGTCACCCGCACAATTGTCAGCAATCCTGAACGGCAAGGAAGATTGTCGGAAAAATGGTAGCGAGGAAACAACGCACCTTCTTGGCCTCGATCAAGAGGTCCTGGCCCAGTTGTAACAGTCTCTCCTTCAACCCTTTCTCCTTGGGATTGAACGCTTGCTCAGTGGCGTAGTAATAAAGGTAGGCCGCGCGAATTTTCTCGTGCTTCTTGCTCATTTCACCGATAATCGTGCTTTCGAGGCAGTAGAAGCTCCCGAAATCCGTGATCTTGCCATCTTTGCCCTCAACGACGAACGACCACACGACCCGATTCTCTGGCTTCTCGCGGTTGAGGAACCAATGCACGATCTCAGCTCTTGAAAATACTTGGACAAGGTCGAATCGTTCGAGGTACCGTGACAACAGATCATGGATTGCATCGACGTCTTTCTCCTCCATTTGCCGCCACCCTGGCGTGCTGGTGTTGGGAGGTAATTGGTTCCGAGCAATCATCTTGGCTTGTGTCATATTGGGGGGTAAAGGAGAGAAGCCGACTTCGTTCAATTTCAACCAGTCGAGACTTCTGTGGAAGTACCGACAGCTTCCTACCGGTGTGGGCAAGACAACCCCGCCGGTGTAAATGGCCTGGTAAATACCCTCCAGATAACAGCGGCGCGTGACTTCTTTGATGAGCACCGGGGCCAGTCTTCTCGATCGTAGCTTCTTATGGACGCACATGAAATTTATTTCCACCACGTCGAGGACATTTTGTCGTATACGCAACTTGATCGGGATGCCGAAGATGGTTGCTACCAGAAGTCGACTTGGGCCTTTTGCCCTAACACCAACATGCCAACTCTTCTTCCAGTCGGGCGACTTCAGAGCCCAATCCAGAAAGACGGCGGAATAATTGAAACGAAACATGGCATGGTCATCCTCGACATAGTGTAAGGAAAGAAGCTTGTAGACCTCTTTGATCTCCTCGTCGTTGGTCAAGTCCAGTTCCACCCATTCATAGCCTTCGGGGAGAGGGGCGGCAGTCTTTGGAACTTGTTCCCGAATAACTTCTTTGATCGGGCCATCTGGCTTGTCTCCCTCCGCCTTCTCGTCAAAGCGTGGCACTGGCTGAGTCGCCCAGAACTTGTACGAGGCCATATCCTTTTGGTTCTTTCCCGTTAATGATAACCCACTCAGTAGTTGTGAGACGTCCATCTTCTTGAGTAACTCGTTCGCTTTCTCAGTAGAGAGACCCGACAGTTCGCCTTTAAGGGAAGGGTTCATGTCAAGGAGAGTCTTTAGCGAATCGTTGGACAAATTAGCGGCGGGCTTGGAGGGGTCTGCAGGTTCTTCGGAAGACTTGTTGCCGGCGATTGCAGAGACGAGTTTGGATTTCTTGGATTTCTTCTTTTTCTTTTTGGGCTTCCCCGAGGTAGTGCTCGTGGCATCTTGTGTGGATTCTGTAGCTTCGTCCTGGTGCTGTTCTTCGGCATCAGACTCGGATTCCAGTTGTTCTTCGAGCGGAGCGCCCACTGGGTCAGATTCGGCCATCGTACAGATTGTCAAACTGGGATCGGGGATGGTAGACTGCGTCGAGGTGTGGCACGATAGAGTCAGGCCAGGGCGAGGCCAGAGCGACGCCGTGAAGAGAGCGGAGACGGTCGAAGGACTTTGGAATCTCAACTACGAGTCACTAAAACTGTAAGAGTGAGACTGCAAGGCACACGGGAACATGCGAACTCCGCAGTTGCCAACTCTCGTCTTGCTCGATGTGGCTTGGCGTGTGGTGGGGATCTTTCCTCAGCCTTGCGGTCGTGATAGTACTTACGAGCGATAGCCTTGACATCAGAGAATAAGGCCTTAGTTCGATCATAGATATCCTTAATGTAGACTGTTCAACCTGACTCGAGAAAAAGGAACATCTCGTCCATACCGAACACGGAGTATTCCGGACACAATGGCCACCATAGACTGCACTCTCACCATCCAAAGTGATAAGCTTGGAATGGTCAGGAGGTCCCCCGTACTGGGTTCAGGGTATGTAATACTCCGTATGTAGCAGCCCCCTTGTAGTCCCTTAGTTTTGAGAATTTGCCTACTCGGTACCTAGACCGCTTTAATCAGGGCGCCGCCGGGCACTGATAGGCAGTTCCGAGTTTTCACCACCCCAAGCCCCCTCCAGGTTTCGCTCCCCTCCCTCCCCCCCCCATGCGGGTCGCCTATTATTGCCCACCAGCTTGCCCAGTTTTGGCCTTGTCACCCCTCAATCTGTCCCGCCTGCCCGCCTGTCCGCCCGCACCCTCTTCGCGTCCCTCCCTGCCGCCCAATCCTCTTCCCTTCCCCAGATTCTCAGTCTTCCCAAAACTCGGATCTCCCTTCTCCCACATTTGAACTCCCAAACACTAATACCAGATCAACGTCATGGCAGACTCATTGCCGGCGACCTCAAACTCACTTCCTCCGCTGTCCACTGAGCCAGATCTTACGGACGCCACACAACCTTCTGGCTCTGCATCTATACATCTTTCTGCAACATGGATTCCTCCGTCGCTGCAACTCGTTGTGCTCTCCTCCATTACCCTTGTAGCAACTCCATCAACCTTGCCTTCGAATTCGGAAACAGACCAGCAGCATTCGGGAACCCCAGGAGAATCCACGCAAAAAGAACAAACAGAACAACCGCAGCAACAGGTCATGCGCCCCAGGCCATCTCAACCCGATCCCTACGATCCCTTCTTCATGCCCGACTCTATCCTCCTTGACAGTCCCGTTTCTGCACAGACCGAGAGTAAATTCCTCCAGCTTCCGCCCGAGCTCCTCACCGACATCTTGAAAAAGGTCAAAATCCCTTACTTCCAAGTATCCCTGGCCCTGACCTGCAAAACCATGGCGCGCATCGCCGCCCAAAAGAACGTCCTCTCCCCGTGGCGGGGCTATCGTGACAAGGACGGCCTCTACCGCCTTCTCGAGCGGAAAAACAATTTCATACCGCCACACATGAGGCTATGTCGTGCATGTTTCAAGTTTCTGCCCAGTACTGCGGGAGAGTATTGGGACAAGCAGATGTCAGCCGAGGAGTTTGATAAACCGAATGTCAACTGGTACGATGTCTTGATGTGGTTCTATGCAGAATCGGGCTTTCAGTATCGGTGTCCCTGGTGTTGTGCATTCGATTATTCGGGCTACGCGAGTGAAGGATTTTACAACAAACAGAGGGCAAAAGAAGTGCTCGAGGACCATGAACTCATGCATCCGGAGCTGAACAGGAGGATGGATAGGCCTTGACACCGGGCATGCATATCCGTGCATCAAGGCATGTACCGGCCGAACTCCACATGAAACCGCTCGCCATTGCAAAACCCGGCATTGAAAGCCGGACAAACACTGAAATCGGAAGCAAGGATACACAAAACCTCCCTCAGAAAAAGCTCTATTTGGAATTTCCTCTCCTCAAGAGAAAGTAAAATCCACGGCCAGCTCACCACCGCCTGCCGTCTTGACAACCAAAATCTGCCCCGGGCTCACCTTCCTCACCTTACCTTTACCGACGCTACTTCAAAATCCTGCATCATATTCAAACTGCTCCGTCAATCTTTCCGGCTCAGACAGGGTCGCACTCTCCATCAAGCAACAGGTTTGACCCAGAATATCATATCCCAAATCGGTACCCTCCAACCAATGACGCGTAAGACACATCACTCAGCTTCGATCATACAGCCGTTAACAGGTCTATAGGTTCGCTCTGTGGTGATAGAGACACCACGTCTGCCTCTTTCAGTGCATCTTTCGACACCGTCAACCGTTGTCACTCGGATTTAACGATGATAAAATCAGGGTTGACGGCGACGAAATCGGACATAACAACGTTAAAAAGTCTGACATGGCACTACTCAAATCTGATATGACACACCTTCGATCACAACCTCAACACGCAGATGAAAAGCGTCACCGAAACCGTCTCTGCACAAATCAGCGCCTCAATACCAACATGGAGTCGAGATTCATCAAATTTGAGAAGCAATTTTTGTTTCGAATAGTCTTCGCTGTGAGTAGTCTTCGTATTTGCTATACTACTGTCTAACAATTACAAAGGTATTTGATGCGATGGTTGTTGGAGTGAGCGGTACCGCAACTGTTGCAATCCTTAGCTAGAATCCTGCCGTCCAGACGGCGCAGGCTCCTGAAGCTAAACAGGGTTGAAGCAAGAGAGGTAGGCTACAATGACGTTCAAGGAGTGTGTATGTAATAGCCTTCTGAGCTGGAACGAGAGGAGAGGAAAGAGATGGAGACAGGGCGAAAGGGACACTACTAATACTTAGTCTTCGTCTTCGACCCGTCTCTTCCTCGTGCTTTTTTGGGTCGCCTTTGATGGTGGTTTCGACGGGGGAGTCTGGGGTTTGGACTTGGTTTTCGGCTTCGCTTTGGCCTTGGACTTCGAATTTGACGAGCGTTTGGGCGGGGCTTCGTCTCCGGCAAACTCTCCGTCGTCGTCTTCGTCATCAACTTGTCCGCCCACAGATGGACTGGGTCTGGAGGCAGGGTGGTCTTCCGTACCAGGCTGGCCTTGCCAGTCTTCAATACCTTGGATCTCGCCTAGCCCGTCCAGGATTTCCACATCAGCTCCATTTTCATCCTCATCCTCGTCCTCTTCCGCTTCATCCTCCACGCGCCTCTTCCTCCGTTTCTCTGCCTCCCCCCTGAGCCTTTTATACGCATTCCTCATCCGGCCTGATTCCTTGCCCGTGCGATTTCTAGGTGCCATGGCCTCCGCTTGCGCCTGGGCCTGGCCAATTCCCTCACCACCCACAGCAAGTGCTCTGCTGCTACGGATTCCCGGGTTTCCGTTGATACCCCTTCCACCCACACCGACTGTTCCAGAGAAAAAGCGCGTAATGTTGCTCTGCGTCCCCTCCACCTCCCGTCGATTCATATCGCGAATCACCGGGACCAAGACCTCATCGGTCCTTTCCTGCGACCACCCGATCGTCGCCATCAGGAAGCCTCGTAGCTTGTCCAAATCCGGCACACCCCATTGAAACTGCTCCGGATTCGAATCGACCTCTGGGTTCAGGTACGCTTCGTCGACCCTCAGGTCGGGGAACCCCGAGGGCAAGAGGAGACGTTTTTGTACCGTTTTCCGAAATTTCCTCCGGAAGGGCGTGGTCAGTTGATTTTCTACATCCTGCGGTCGGCCAAGTTGGACTCTCTCACACCACGCCTTGAACTCCACTAAATCCTCAAAGTCGGTGAGAATCTCCAGCGCAGTGACAGGTCCCACGCCCGGAATCCCCTCGGTGTAATCACTACCCAACAAATGTGCGAACCTGATCAGTCTCTTTCTATCCAGCAGGAATTCCTTCTCAAGATCTGAAGAGAGATAGCACTCGACGTACTTCGCGGCGTTGAACATGTTCTTGTATATCCTGGTCCCTCCGAAGAGGAAGATGTCCGAGTCGTCTGTGACGATCCCATCCACCAGACCCAGGCGGACAAGTTCAGCGCATTGCGCTTCGGCTTCCATGGGGGCAGTGATGTATGGTAAACCGAACAGTCTCAACAATGCCTGACATTCTTGGATCATTGTCTGTGTGACCTCGTCCGCGTCTCGGCGGTCCCGTTTCTGCTGAGAACGCAAGGCTTTGAGCTCGGCATCGAAGTCGCGCATGGCTTCTTCAGCCGAAGGGGCTTTCGCATTGTTGAGGGCGGACGTGAAGCGGGAGTGTTCTTCGGCTTCTTCAGCTAGTTGACGCATGAGTTCTTCTTCCGAAGCAGAGAGGTAGTCGAATTCTTCTTCTTCGACTGGGACCCCCTCTGGAACGTCCATGATGCTGGATTCTCGAGCGGGTTGGCTGCTAAGGTCTGGAAGCTGTATCGCAGCAAGATGACTAGGAGAGACGACGGTCGTGTTTTGGCCTGGGATCGGTGCGACAGCGGGCTCCATGTCCACATCTTCAAAATCTTCGCTCTCATCTCCATCTTGTTCCGCAGCTTCTGCTTCACGCTGAGGCTGGGGAGACTGATCTTCGACGGTACCGAGCGATCCAGGGCTTGTTGGTTGTACAGGTTGTTCATGGTCCGACTCACTCCATTCGACTTCTTCAAAATCGCTCTCTTCGGCAGCGCCTTTTTCAGCGGCAGCAGGGTTGGGCCGATACTGCGGGACAGCAGATGTTTGAGGAGGTTGTGCCTGTAACGCTTCCGCCATTTCGCCCATCGTCGGTTGTTTTTCTTCCTCGAATTGGTTCTCAGCAGCAATTTGTCGTGCCATCTCGTATCGTTTCTCGCGCTCTTCGTCTCGTAGTCGTTTTTCTACATCTTCAAAGTCTTGAACCTCAGGAGGTTCAAAGTGGCTAGGAGAGATAGGCTCATCGGCAGCTTCCGGAGATGCTTGAGTTAACAATTGCTCCTCCGTCTCGTCCAGATCAATTGGATGTTGACTCCTGCCCTTTTCATCCTCAGCCTCCAGGTCGATCACCTCTTTGGCATCATGGCGCCGAATTGTATCCCATCGATCGGCACCTTCACCATACGCGACGTGGATGTCATCTGCAGCCGTAGTCTTGGATCTCATATCCTTGACATTCGGAGTAGCATTGAACCATTCAGGCATCGGCTGAGGAGGCCTCTCCTTGCGAAAAGCATCTTCTCCGAGATCTCGATCGAATCCACCTGATAGATCTTCTTCAATCTTCTTGGATTTCTTCTTCCCCAGCAGTGACTCTCCGAGATTGAGGGACTCGAAGGGCAAGGGGCCATCAAATTTCGGTGTGGCAGTGGTTATCACCCTGGATGACGTTGGACTTGTGTCTTCGACGTTCGTTCTTGGTTTGACTTTGGTTCGTCTTGACTCTGCGAGGGCGGCTTGCAGGTCGAAGCCATCTTCTTCCCCGGACTCGACCGCAGGTCCCTCTGAAGCTGCGCCAGCGACCCATCCATCACTCCGTCTGTCATCATCGGTGGGCTGCTCTAAAGACATTGCTATGGCGCGTTGCAGGTCCCCGTCATCTTCTTCGGGCTCAGGGTACAAAGGTAGTACGTCTTCAAACAAATCGTCCTCGTCCTCAGGCTCTGTTCTGCCTTCCGGGACAAAAAGTGATTCCTCACCCGTCTCCAGAGTGGTGCTCTGAACGGTTGGAGGAACAGCCCGTACAACCTTGGGAGCAGTGTCAGTACTGTTCGTGGCAGCCCTCCTTGCCTCATAGACGGCTTTCCTTTTTCTCGCAATCTCTTCTGCCACCTCTTCGTATGACATGTCATAATCCACGCCAGCCTTCCTCTTCCGCGCCCATGTTTTTGGAAGCCGATTTAGGCCTTCGATCGCGACATCTTCAAATTCTTCTTGATCCGAGTCGGCGCTGAAATCCACATCTGACTTTCCTTCATCATCCAGATCGATCGCATCCTCTTTTTTGGCGCCCTGTCTATTCGACACCACACCCAAGGCCCAACCGCCTTCTACCCCTTCATTCTTCACCAAAATATACTCCTTTCCTTTCTCGCCAGCAATTCTGCCACCGCCTTCCCTCAAAAAGTCTCCCTCCACCATCCCGTTCAAGTGCATAAGTCGTTGCGTCAACTCATTTCTCTCCTTGACCCTCTCAATCTGGAACTTGGAGAACGCCATGCGATCGGGGAACATCCCATCGAGCTGTTCCTTCGAGTAACCCATCCTCAATCTCGACCTCAACCTCGCTGCATTGAGGATGTTATACCTGTCTCCAGCCGGTAACGACAGAAAGAAAGGGCTCTCGAAATCGATCTTGCTGAAATCGTAGAGATTGATGTCCTCACCCGAATGAAATTGCCGCGCATACTCTTCCAACTCGGCTTGAGACATGATTCTTGGATCGTTCGGCGCACCCATCTCCGCGATACTCCCCTCCAAATCCGGCAGATGATACTGATCTTTTTTCTTGAATTTTTCACCTCGGCCGGCTGCGCGTTCTTGTTTTGTCATGCCCAGCTCCTCAACGTACACCAGCTCTTGATCCGGAGGTAACTCCTCCTCGGGTGTCCTCTGCCTCTCTGCCCTTCTCCTCCTCTCTTCTTCCTCAGCGGCCCTCGCAACCTGCACCGCAAGCAACTTCCCCGCAGTCCTCGCCGCATCCTCTCGTCTCCCCTCCCGTCTCCTTTTCCTCTTCCTAATCGTCTCTCTCTTCAAGACCGGCGCCCCACCATCGAACACAAACACAGGCTTAATCCCAAAGTAGAGCAGTTTGCATATGCGCCGGAAGAAGCCAACGACGTGGCTGTTGCGCAGAGCATTACCCTCTTTGTCTCGGACGGCCTTGAGAAACTGGTAAATCCAGATGGAGGCGTCAACGGCGAGACGTTTCCGGTTGAGCGAGGCGAGTTGGGTTGGACGGGCGGTGGGGGCAACAACGGTCCACAGGCCGGTGACACCCATGGTAAATTGATGAGGTCAAGAGACAGGCCGGTGAGACTGTGCATCGATGACTCCCGCTCTGAACACTCAGCCGTTGGGAGGAATCTGAGGGGGTTGTCTATTTGCCACCATGGTTGCGAAGTTGTAGAGATGGATATGATGCAGGATCGGATATGTCACTTAAAAATGAGGATGTACGGAGTCCCTACGCTGTGAGCCGGCTCCGTCACGCGACAATGACGCGAACTCACATGCTGCATGCCCTAGCCCCTCACCAACGATACAGGCAGACATCTCAGTACAAGTAGGCAAAGTCCTGCGGGATTGAGTGCCCGCGATCATATTTTGCTACATATTGCTGCCAGTCAAGTTCCATTCTACCAAATTCCCGCCCTTTGCAGCAAAACAGGCTGCTTCCCAGCGATACATGCTTGACGCCGTGCTAGACCATCAGGGGCTGCAGAATCAGCCCATAGACAAGTGAATAACAAAAACACCCAGGTACAAACGGAAAGAATGGAAAGCTAATAACAATTTAATTCGTCCCCTCCCTAGCATTCTCACTCGAGCCTGAAGGACCAACAAGTGTGGGGGCAATCCGACGTCTCTTCGACTTGCTTTCCTCCTTTTCGCTTTCGCTTGTTGCCCCGTCTCTCTTGCCCAAGACCGAACCACTAATCGAGCTTGTTGCAGAGTGGTGGCCACCATGAACACTTGCAGGTGTCTGGGGTGGCGTCGTCATGGGTGGAATAGCTATCGGAGGTCCAGAGTTGGTGGCGGTTACCAGGGGTACATGCCCCATGGTGGGAGTAGCATTATTTGGAAGGCCTGAGGTTTGGATAGACGTCATTGTAGCTATCGATGACTGTGAGTTGGATCTCGTTGGACTTCCGGGACGAAGAATAAATGGTGCCGGTGAAGGGTGTGATGGTGGTACAGGAACAGGAGATGCCTTTGTGAGCGAAGGAGATGCGGTAGCTGTAGGTGTTGGAACTGGCGTTGAATTTGCAGAAGAGGTTGGTAAAGGAATCGACGTTGTAACAACCGGATGGTTGTACGTCGGATGGGGGCCTGTGTATACCTGCCCTAATTCCCCGGGAGCGAACGCCAAAGTCGAGCAAAAGCCATCCGTAGAGGACATTAGTAGTGTCAGACCGTCGTTTGACCTACGTGAACTCGTCAGTGGCATTTATGGGCCGAGATGGTCTGGACTTACCAAGTCAAATCTGAGAATGTGGCGTAATGAAGGTTGCTCACAACACAAATAGGTGTGGTTTGCTGCGTATCGTAGACAAACACCGCATCCTGTGTCGCTACGGCATAGATCATCCGATAGGGCAGAGAGAAGGCTGGAGTCGGCGCTGGGCTGGCAGGCTCCCCGTCGGTCGACGGCTTCGGTGAAGGAGCCGACATTGAATCGGGACCAGGAGTAGTAGCCGACAAAGGGGGAGGCTCCATCACCGTTGTAGGAGTCTGTGGGACTATCGGATCCGGTAAGAGCGGTATTTCTTCGCTCGCCGACGACGTATCGATAGTGATATGGTTTGTCGGTTTCGTGGTGGACCGCAAGGTATAGAGAATAGGGGAGCATTTGACGGCCACGGATGGTTTTTTGTGCCCTGGAAGGTGCGCCACGGGTGGCTTATTGAAGCCAGCCCGGGTGTAGATGTAGACTGTATTTGTGACATCGTCTGTAGTCTTGATCGGATCCGACGCTGTTGGAAAACTGGTCTTGTAGTGTCCGGCAGGTGTAAACAACAGGCTTCCGTCCGGTGAGAATGTGAGACGACGGAAGAACGAGGTCATGGTTTCGTTATGATAGAGATTCGTGTTCTTGACGGCCAGACCCATCGCGGCATTGAGACTTGGAGACGAGATTTCTGGTCTGACAGCGGGCAGCGGTAATGAAGGCGCCGGTGAAGCAGATCGTCGGAACGATGGTGACGAGCCGAAAGATGATCGCCGGCTCGAGGTCAGGAGGGGAGGATCCATCGGTAGAGGTGTGGTCAAAGGGGTTCCGGGATTTGAAGGGGCAGGGGAGGCAATGGCAAGATTGGTAGCACTTGAATTCGAGGCTCGGTTCGTCAACTCAGCTGGAGCTGGGCTATTGGACGATATTCGCCGACCGGGAAGATCCATCTTGTTGAACTTCCCATGCGTCGAAAGCGTGGGCGTGCCATCTTTGAGCTTGAGGGCATAGATGTGGACCGACCGGTCCGATGATTGAGTCGCAACAAACTCATTGAGAGGATCCCAAGCCACACCTTGTACGAAATGGCTATGTTCTGCTATTTGGCGGATCATGGTCCCTGGGACAACGTTAGCCATGTCATATTTGTGAGGGTGTCTATTTCCCACCAGTATGAGCATTAAAGATCCTCGCCGTGTTGTCAACTCCGCCTGTGATGAAATATTGACCGTCTGGAGACCAGGCCAGATCATATATTTCTGCTCCAGTCGACGTCCTGCACATGTGTTTGATCCTCCATGTTTCCTTATCATCGGCGTGTTCATCGGTCAAGGTGGCCATGGATGATTCAGAGGGCACCCAAAGGAGGACGTTGCCATCATCACCGGCTGAAGCCAGCATCTCGCCTGCCTCCTCATCAGCAACCAGTGCCAAACCCAGCTTTGGAAGACTAACCTTTGGGGCAAAATCGGACGACATTGACAGGTTGAGTATGTCTGGTGAGGGTGGATAGGTATGTGACCTTTCTCTCTTCGCCTTGAGCTTCAATGCTCCATAACTTTTTCCCTCCCACATCAGCGACTTGAATCAACGGAAACTAGCGAAGGGAGGAATAGTTCGTACCCGCACATTGTTATCACTGTTCTTGTTAGCAAACATGCAGGCCATTGCTGCAATTGAGAGAACTCACTTTCCAGCCGTAGCTAGCCTCCCTTTGCCATGGGGATCGAAATGGACCGAATAGATGGGCTGGCTCTCATGGTGCCACTGGATGAGAAGCGGTCCGGCTTTCATGACAGCATTGGAGATTGGCCTCGAAGGCCACTTTATGGGGGATCAAAATGGCAGATTGAGACTGTGAAATCTGAGATGTAGAAATATGTACCGGGTCTTGTTGCCGCTGCTGGAGAAGGAAAGTAAGATGCGGTGGGTGGACGGGCAGGCGGCAGAGCAGCTTTCGTTTGCGTACTCTGGAGCGGAGATCGACAACGGGCGCACGGCACAGGGAGCTTGCTGAGTCAAAGCATGCAGTGAGGCGGAGGGGATGTCTCTTTTGCCATAATGCGGTGTCGGAACAGAGGTCGAAACCAGGGCTACTGGAGTCTGGTGGTGCTGATACTCTGAGCATCAACGGCGTAATGCAGTTGAACTACTCGCTAGCAGTGGTACAGACAAAGACGGGGCGGCATGTCTCGTTGTGGAGGGTTGCCAATGTGCTCCGCAGCCAGATTGGAATTGGGCGGCCGCTCAGGTGGAGCAAAGGGCGAGAGCCCTGTCTGGTGAGTCTCTACCCTGTCCTGCCTTGTCAATAGGCTTGTGGTTTGCTGCCACTGCTGTTGCTGCTCCTCCCACACAAAACCTGACAGTTTGACGCGCTCGTGCCTCTTAACCATCCACGTCCTGAGGCCTGGCGCGTCTGGCTACATACAACCCGGCCACCTCGCCCGGGGGGCCAATCCTGAAAGTGAGCGGCATCCTTCAATGTGAAACAATTCAATTCCGGTGGGATTGGAGAAATTCTATTGCGTCCCCCGTAGCGTTAGGTCATCACTGGACGTAGACTTCTTGCTTCCTAAAGCTCCAAATACCAGCTGCTTGTCTTTCCCTGGGACCATGCCCTCCAGTTTGGTCCGGCCCTTCAGGCCTCAGTAATACATTCCCAGCAAGACGGCAAAATCTCTGCTCCTCTAGTTCGACTCGACTCGCGTCGATCGAAATCCAAAATTCCTGGAGGCAAACCGATTCGCTTTTCCGAAGAGGTAGCTTCCTGAAGCTCCCTGTATCTCTCTGTGCGTTGGAACAATCCGTTTGCGCCAACCGACACCTATTGAAACTAGAATCAATTGAAACAGCACCAGGCCGGCAGGGCAAGGTCGGCAGATCTTGCACCCAACTACGCCCTGTTCATCCACCCGGTCCTTGCCCTATTTTTTGTGTAGGGTGTGACCTGCAAGGCTGACGTTGCCGGAAATATGGGTTACGGTAAGTGTAAGAACGATTGGGACTGTCTTCTTTCTTTTTGGTTCGGGGTCTCCTAAAAGCTCTGAGCGGACACTTGTGCTGGCTAAGAGATTCATTAGCCCTCATTCCAATCTGGAAACAATACTTGAACACATACCGGGCTGTTGAGCATATTCTGGCGAGCGTTTCGGCCCTTCTTGATATGGCTCTTCAGAGCACTCGAATCCAGGGGCTTCAGCAACTCGAAACTGCACAGTAAATTGCTGGACACCGACATCACTGCCCCCCAATTGTCGAACTCGCCGCAATACTTGGCACACGGTTAGCGACATTTTCTCGACCGACTTGGCACACTTACGTTGGGTGCAGAAAAGACCGTGACAAGCAACCGGTCATTGAAGAATTCGTATCCATCCTCAACAACCATATGAGCCCGACAAACCAGGTCGAAATCGTGTCGCGCAAGAAAGTCGACAATCACCTTTTTCCCAAAGCAGTAGCTCACTCCCCGTTCGTTTGACTCCCAATCTTGATCCATATCCGCCGGATCGCTCCACAACAGATCGTTCAGCAGCCCATAATCAGGAACGTCTGTTGGTCGAGCGATCTGTCGGATATCGTCCATATGGGACAGGGACGGGGATAGCCCGCCATGGACACAGAAGATCTTGTCCGCCACAATCGCAGCAATGGGTAGACAATTGAAAGTATCAATGAATGTTTTCCAGATCTTGATGTTGCACCTTCGCTTGCACTCGTCATAGAAACCGTAAACGCGAGTGACGTTAGCACACTCATGATTACCGCGAAGGATGAAGAAGTTTTCCGGATATTTGAGCTTGTAGCAAAACAAGAGTAGAATTGTCTCGAGAGACTGTTTGCCCCGATCGACGTAATCGCCCAGGAAAAGATAGTTCGCATTGGGGGGAAAGCCGCACATTTCGAAAAGTCGGATCAGATCATTGTACTGCCCATGAATGTCCCCCACGATTTTGACCGGCGCAGTGAGCTCCAACAGCGCTGGTTGAGATAGTAGCACTTCTCGAACGGCGGTACAGATTGCCGTAATTTCGGCGTTCTTAAGGCAGACAGCCTTCGTCACCTTGGTAGTATACCCAGCATCCAGGAGACGGGAAATCATGTCGTCCAAGTCCATGTCATTCACTTCACTCATGCCCATACCACCTCCTGGAGAAGCACCTGGAAGCTCTGCCAGCTTGGCCCGTAATGAGGCCTTGGTCTCCGGAGCCCGCGGGTTGATCTGATTCTCCCGCTTAACCAAGATAGAATCACCCGCCTTTTGTGTGGAAGAATGGACATGGGCCTGGTGAGGAGCTTCCTCAGACACCGCTCCTACCTCCCCAGTCCTCTGAGCACGATCTACCGATTTGTGACCTTTACCCACGGACTTGGACTGGGTTGGGGACGGAGGCCTTGCAGGTGTATTGGCACCTGGGGAAGGAGCTTCGTCCTCGTCGGGAGGCGACGTGGGAGACTCTACCAACGGATTGTTTGTAATTTTCTCTCTGGGCGGCGGCCGAGAGGAAGCCGAACGGCCACTTGCAATCGAACTAGCGTCAGCCTTGTCGTTATTTGGGCCGTCTGACCCCGCAAGAGTTGACCCTGAGGCCCTGGGGCTGTCGTTGGTCTTATCATCTCCCGAGCTCTTTATCTTGCTTCGAATGGAAGACCGAATGGATCTCGAGGCACTCTCTCTGGTGTCGGATTTGGATATGGAGGGATACTGCTGTAGAGTTTCCGGAAGATTGGAGGAGGAGCCGCTCTTTAGTGGGGTTCTGGTACCATCGCTGCTTTTTGACTGTTGTTGGCCCATTGAATTCTCGACCTGGCAAATGATATGGCAGGTCGCAGAGAAATGGTCGGAGAGCGAAACGAGCGGGTCAAGGAGGTTTGAGGAGTGAGATAAGCAGCCGCTTTGAGGAATGCGTTTTGGCGACTTTAGTGGAGGGCAGTCTGAAAGGAGCACACTGGAAGTATGCTCAGGTAAAATCCACCTTCAGATATGGGGGCGCGATGTCGCTGGATCGGCCGGCTTCGTGCGATGGGATGGTAGGGATAGATGACAAGCAGTGCCTGTGCATGGGGGTGTATTTGTGCGATGGGTTCCTTCGTCTCGCCTGCGGCAGAGAGAGGGTCAGCGGTCAGCAAAATCGTCCAGCAGGAAGTTGGAGGTCAAGCAAGCTAAACAAGAGCGATTATTTGCAAACGATGGAAATGTCGCATGGGGCGTGGATGGTGAAACACGTTGCGTCACCGTGCGGAAGGGCTGGATAGGAACTGACCTGCTGGAAAGGCGACAGGTGCGGACGGACTAAGACAGCAGAATTAAAGCAGGTAGCACATAGATTGTAGCATCTAAGATATGGTGGAGGTGCGACGGTGAGGTGAGGACAGTATGTAGGTAATCTAGGGTTGATAAATAAAATGAGTGTTAGAATTCGTGGAGGGAACAGCGTGAAGGCCCGAAAGCACAGGCAGGCTTGCGTAGGCGGCTAGTGGGCTTAGTTTGGCCCTGGCGTCCTCTGGTTGGCCACCCGCTCGGCCATATCGGCTTCGCGGCTGGCGGCCCAGAACATTCTGTTACTTAACTTGTAAACCCCTAACTCCCAGTCACCACGCTTAGATCCCCAGGAAGCCAGATGAGGCAAATGAGGTCACTCTGCCCCCATCCGGAGTACCAATATCTGGCAAGCTGGCTTGCTGGGTGCTACTTCGTACAAGGGCTATCAACTGCTGGTGTTTCGGCCCCGAGTTCTTGGAAGTGCAATGACGGAGTAAGCACATACAATCAACCCCTACGGAAGGCCTCGGCACACGCCAGCAGTCTCGGGGTGCTTCTCCTCGTTCCCTCCTGCCTTGGGCGCTGCGTGAGCTCAGCCCTGGTCTCACTGACAGGAGAGTATAGCTTTTAGAGCCAATCCTGTCACCAAGCAAATGCTGTTGCTCCAAGGTTCGTCCGCTCACTTCTTGCAGTGCGTGAAGTCGTAGCCTCGAAGATATCGCCCCATGCTGTCTCCTGTCTGCCTCCAATTTCCCCGTCGTCATCTAGCGTTCATCTAATCTCATCGCGTCTTCCGAGTCATTCGTAAATCCCACGATACTCTCTTGCCGCTGGGAAGAGGCCATCTTAGGCTGAACGGCACTCAAAAGCATTCTTGACGAAGACTGCAAGGTTGATCGTCAACCCTGACCTTCCCATCCGTTCATGATTTCGTGCGGATCGACAGCGACTGATTACTGGGCCATTCTCTCTTCTCCTCCACTTCCACCTTTGCAATCTGCTTGCCTGGAATGACTATGAGGCCCACAAATCGCGACGTCATGTCTACTCTGCTGGCCTGTCCGGTGGTCTTCAATTTCTCGATTGCGGCTTTTGCTGCAGTTCTGGATGGCATCCTGTACTCAAACGAGTTTGAAAGGATGATATTGCTATCGTTGTCGGTACATCGAAATATTCCTGAAAATATTCGCCCGTCTAGGACTGTGACATTGAGGGTCTTTCCAAGCAGAGATTCGAGGAACTGGGTAGCCTCGGCCTCTTCCATATTAGAGACAATCAGACTTTGATAGAAAGAACCCCGAGGATTGCTTTTCAGGAGCCTGTTGTGAGATGTGCCGTTTTCCTGAGTGAGCTTGTCGGAGAGAGACGCGTTGAGATGTGGAAGATGCAGCCTTGGTCCGTTTCTGTGGAAAGTAAAGAGGCTCAGCCTTGCAGATGGGCTTGGCAACACATCACCCAGAGCGGGCCGCTTTTAAAACCGACCACCACGTGTTCTGGGAAGCGAGGATGAAAACTACAAGTATAGCAAGCTTTTGATCAATATAAGGGTGCGCCAGAACGTGATCAGAAAGTCTCTAAACCTAAAAGGGGAACATTATGAAAAGGAACGGCAGCACTTGGGGCGCCATGATGGATGAATTGACTGGGCATCGTATCCAAGTTGTGATCCGAGACCAACGCCGTCAAGGCCTTGGCTGGCACTACTGGGCACCGCCATATGATATCCAGGAGGCAAACATCGCCGTCTAACACAGATTGGATGTCCCTAAATAGGATGAATCACTGACTAGCGCGTTTGCATTTAGGTTTGGCGGTGGGCGAGAATCACCTTCCAGCAAATGGTGCTCCTGGGCAATTCTATGGCCCCAGGAGGCAGATATCGAGCGTCAAACCGCGAAGCCAGTGAAGCTGGCAAAGAATGAAAAAGTATCTGAGAACGCAGTTCCCTTTGCCATCAGACTGCGTGAGTCTGATTCCAGGCCTGCAGCCATAGCTTCACAGCCTCGATCTCCCTGTTTTGGGCGCTGTGCACTCCCGCCGGCATCTTGTCGTCTGTTTCGTTGGGCAGCAGTCCCGGAAGATCCCATTCGTGATACCCGCCGTCGATCACGATTTCCGGTTCGCTGCCCGTGCCATTACTCTTTGCGCGCACGTTAGGCCTTCCATTCTCCAGGAACTCTTCCAGTGGCGTGAGCGGGCGATAGTAATCGAGAGGGCCAGGCGAGGATAGGACAGACCGAACCCGCCCTATTTATTAAACAGCTTAAGCTATGGATTGTATGTGATGTTATGGGTATTGTGACACTGGCTAAGAAAGTAATCTAGTGACAGTGTGCGGGAGACCAAGGGCAGGGTATCAGGGCGGTCCGGTGTGCCAGGGGTGTATCCTGTTGCAAACGAGCCATATTCTGTGCATTCGAGCCACTGGTAGGGGCTGGCAGTGCTTAAGGACACGCATTGGGCCGCCGTTTGTCCCGAACAGAAGCTATACAGAGTTTGCACGTAGAGGAACAGATTCAGGAGCGGGTAGTAGAGATCTGTGGCATTAGGGGTTGTAGTCTTGTTGGCGTATGTAACCAAGGAATGTGCCATTGTCTGAAGAGCCGTGTCAGACACAGTTACGTTGGTCCGAGAAGTGATGAAGTCGCAGTAGGAACCGGGGCCTATGCGAGCGAGAGTCTGGTCAGCACTTGCATCCAAGGAGCGGAGGTTGCGATGATTGACACAGTGCTTACCATCCAGAGGATACAGTTGTGAATTCCAAGATTGGTCCCAAGACCCCAAAGGGCCTGTAAGGAGATATGCTAGATCAGGATATTCCGTGGCATCCGAAACATTGAAGCCGGTGTAGAGCTCAGACAGCGCAGTCTTGTTGCCACTGTCATAAATATTGTCCATTAAATTAGTTAATTCTTGCTGTTTCTTGACACACGCCGATGGTCCATATCGCCGTATCACATCATAAAATTGTCAGTTATCATCGATGGGGACGGTAACCCCAGAAGATGACAGCCCGCCCCAAAAGAGGCCAGGATATTGAATACGGGTGAAGGCCGATATAAGTCCACCGTACGACCCGCCCAGTATGATCCAAGGGGTTGTAGGGGCTGTAAAGTTTCGACCCTCGAGCCCCGGAAAGTTTACTCTTTGGGAAAAGTATGCGAGGTCGGCCATGGCCGGCTCGGTACTATGAAAGCGAAGGTTTTCGGTAGTATACTGTAAACTGGGAACAATGGTGCCGCCACTGTAGTACCTATGTCGAGATTAGCTCTCTTTCTAGCATACAGCACTGGACTCGTTATTCACCTTTGGCCCCATAGGACTGCAACTCCTCCAGTGGCATTGGCGATATCATGGAGAAGGCCCTTTTGAAGCCATTGAAAGTCATATAAAGGCGAATCCTCGCCGATGGCATGGATAATGACTGGGCCTCCAGGGACATAGTTGCTGGTATCAAGCCAGTAGAACTGTTCAACGGTTGCATTGATATGAGGTTCGTATCGAGATTCATTGTGAAAGTGACCAACCGGCGTGGTGAAGTTTTTGGGTGCTGGCCAAGAATTAGGACCAGGTGTCCTTGGACTTCAGTTGGAGGCCAAAGGCGTGCAGTTGAAAGGGTCGTGGTAGGAAAAAAAGAGACCGGCTGTGATCGAAACCGGGCTATACTGACGGGTAAACGCCTCCCTGCGACTGTCTTCTCGCAACGGGCGTGTTTGCGTCCACCGACACCCTGCATACTCTTTCAGCTTTCACTTATAGCCAAAATTGGGATGCGACAGGACTTACGCTGCTACCACCAGGTAGAGGAGTTCTATCAACAGTGTCGAAATGGTGGCCATCTGGTGACTACAGCTGTCGCGGGAGCAGCTGCCCTGTGGCAAGTATCAAGGGCCAATTGAAGCTCCAATATATATTCCCGAATACTGTCAACCGTCGCCAGGTGACCAGATATGATGACATGACTATATGCGGTTTGATTGTTCCCAGGGGGTCAGCCCTCCTCCAGTTAGAAACAAAGTTGTGCGAAGCTGTTAATTTTCCTAATTTGCATCTTGACGAAGCACAGATCAGTGATCAGCGGTGGTAAATGGTCTGTGCCAACCCGAGATCAGATCTCATCTCGTTGTTGCCAGGTTGTGCATGCCTTCAAAGGTCAAGTCTGGAAGCGAGAAAGAGCAACCTTCTGATTCTTTGGCTATCAGCACACCGAGCGCTTCTTCAAGAGGACCCAGAGCTCGTTCTCAGACAGCCTTCGGTCAATCATGGAAAGTATTGGGGCAACTCAATGTCGAACTGCTCAAACTGGTCCATTGATTCAGGAAACATACCCGATCTACTTGAAAGAGTGTTGCTTCACTGTTGGTTAGATCGGAACTCAGTACCATGTCTTCATCTGTGCGCCTACGTCAACACAGTGGCTCATCCAATGTTATGATGTCCAACTTTGCACGCCAGCGCATTTAAGGTGAGACACGGCAGAAGAGGTAAGGAATATCGCGGCATAGCTGACACGGGGAGGAGGGGGCACCGGGGGGTGTTGATTACCTACAGTACCTAACAGGTAAGTACCGTGTACGGAGAGATATTGACTGAAGCGGGATGAGGCGCAGTTATATAGACCACGGAACCACCCCCCAAGCCGCCTTAACCACGACCGGATTACTAAGTCAACAAACACGTCCAAATACACTTCCACAGCAAGGGCTCATCTGTCGCCCGAAAATCTTCCCGTCCCAACTCACAATTCGCCTGCGTTCAGAGAGCCGCCAGAGCTATAAGGGAGAATAAAGAGGGTTCGGAAACAGAGGCACCTGTAAGCGCAAGAGGAAAGATTCATTCATGAGTGGCAGGAGGCTCGCTGACACCGAGACGTATGCGGAAGTATATCCAAAGCACTGGACACTCAATGCCAAAGGCTAATGAGGCCTATACAAAGGGGCCCGACAAAGCGATGTCAAAATGATAGCAAGAGACTCCGTCAAGGGGAACTGAAAGCAGGGTTTTCGCTGATCTGGCCAGACCTACGCGTAGCGCCACTCCATCGACACCCCCAATTCTCTGTCCTCCTTTTCACCTTTCAATATCGACCTTTCACTCTGCTGAACATTCCTTCTGCTGAACATCTACAAACCAGGCTTCCTAAAATTGCTTCACCGCTGGAGCGACCTTCCGCTATCCGACTCCAGAAATGCGAAAGGCGAACATAGTGACGTTCCCTAAGTAGGAGGCTATTCTGCCTCCTGTCCAGGTATTCAGATGACAAAAGTCCAGACTTAACTTCGAACTCTGCAACTGCGGACAGCAACCCCAAATGTTTTGCTCAGATACGAGTCTTCATTCAGAGCTTAGAAGCCACTACACAGCTTCTTGGGGTAAGAGAGGTAAAAATTCAATGACCCGGTCAGGCCGTAGACTATCCAGATTTCGTATTCTGTTGCCCCAGCTTTGTGCGTGCTAACCTCACGTCGTACTCTCTCACAACGGACCTAGTGCCTCTAACCGCACGTCGTATTCCGCCATCTATCACGAAGAAGCTTGATTAACGAGAGGAGAAGTATCTTGTTTTATAGGGATCATCCACGTGCCTTTTACAGTCGTTAGGGACGGATTCGAGCGGTATAAATATCATGAGGGCACGCAATATGATGGTGGTACTGTTGACAGGGTCGCGAGAGCGTCACTAGGGCAAACCACCTGAGACGCTAGGCGCTTCACCAACTGCGCAAACTGCCTCAACCTCGTTGTTCCTGCAGACCTGTGATAGGATGGCGACGGAATAGGAGGTTTCAGGAATACTCTTATGGTTACAGGCCAATGTATATATAAACAGGGATCCCGCTTATCGATCTTGGCTATACCGAAGTACAAGGAGCGAAGGCTGCGTTTGGCACCATTACAGCAAATGTCTGGTTAGGGGTTCGATACGCCAAATCCCCCACTGACCCACTTCACCTACGTGCACCTGAAGCTGTAGGGGGGTAGCGCGAACTCTTCCCTGCCATTAGATGCCTCTACTTCTGGACCTTATTGCCAACAAGGAGTTGCCTCGGCTTATATGGGGACGAATGCAATTCATATCTCCGCCATTGTCTTCGGAAATCGCCAGCCGAGCGAAGACTTGTCTTCTACTCGATATCTACAGGCCGCTGAAGCCAAATTCCAGCCGTTTCCCAGTGCTGGCCTTTATTCGCGGTAGCGGTTATGTCCAGGGCTGCTCGACACTCTGAGTTCGCCCTGGAGATATATTCACCTCTATGCCCGGACAAGCCGCCGTGGTCTCGATTCAGTATCGACTCACTGGGTTTGGCTTATTTGGAGGCTCCCAAATCGCCGAGAGTGGAAGTTCGAACGCGGGACTTCAGGACCAGAGGCTTGCATTGAATTGGGTGCAGCGATACACCGCATCATTCGGTGGAGACCCGGAGAGGGTGATCATTAATGGTGGTTCTGCCGGAGGCGGCAGCGTAATCTACCAGCTTCTTTACAATGGGGACGAGCATCAACCTCCTTATGCAGCCGCCGTTGCCGAGTTTCCTGGGCTGCCAACTCTTCTAAACTCAAGTCAGTTGGAGGTTCAGTTTCTACTAGCTCTCTCAGAAGCAGATTGTTCGGACATTAGTTGTCTCCTCCATAGCGGAGGAAGAATGCACTGAAGCTCAGCAAATGGTGCTCACACGAGGAGTTGGATATACCTATGGCTCGTTCTATTATGGGCCTTGTGTTGATGGGATATTCCTTCCGGATCTACCTTCTGTTGGAATGGGATCGGGAAACATCGCTTGCGTCCCATTTTTAACCAGAAGAGACGGAAACGAAGGCCATATTTTCACTCCGCTGAGTGTTACAACTGTTGTTGACTATTAAACGCAGGCTCACTCACTCTTCAATGGGCAGCTCAACTTTTTCGGCCCATTGGACCTGTTTAATCCTCCCACATCTCCGGGAGCGTATGCGTACAATAACTCTCGCCAATGTACGGAGTGGGTTGTGAGAGACGCTTTTATCGCATGCCTCAGAGTACGCTGCGAGCGCTGGGATTAACTGTCTGTCGAAGACGAACACTAACCCTCCTGCTTGGAAATCTCTCTGCTACCGCCTACCAATCATACCATCTATATGTATTTACAGCCCATAGGTACCACGCAACTGCAAATCTCCTGTCGCCTAGGCAGCTCGACATCTGACACAGTAGAACGTCTCATTCATCTTGCACTCTAACCCAAATGTTGGCGCCAGCGCCGGCGGTTCAAACATTTCCTGGCCAAATTATGGTGCAATATCCCAAAGTTTGCATTTCTGCTCAAATGGGGGGCCGTTCGTGGCCACAGGTCCTGATGCAGGGGCTCTATGTCAGTTTTTCCTGGCTCATCCGTATAATATTTAAGCCTGAAAGAGTTCTACGGGGGATTAGAGCTAGCACGGAACACGAGTTTCAGTCCATCATGCATTTCGAGAGGGATGTATCCCGGGCAGGCATGCGATCCAGAGTCTTTCCTCCCTACTAAAGAGGGACCGTGATGGTGTAGGGACAGCGATGATAATTATAGCCGACGAAATCACCGGGGATTTCCCCTCAATATTCACTGAGTCTTCGCCGAGAGGAAGAGATTGTCTCTTCAAGTGTAAACTATGTTCGGGGTGAGCCGAGTTCTCTGTGGATAACTTACCTGTACGGAGTTGAGTGGTCGAGCCATCCTATCCCATAGGCGCAGACGCAACGACGCAGCCTTCAAAATGGTTCACTTCTCATTAAAGAAGTGCAGAGCTCTCGTGGACGCGCGACGAAATATCTAGAGGGGCGAAGGGTGAGTGAGCAGGAAGGGATCCCAGCAGGAGTGAAGTCTTGTGAGGCCGTCGTTATGGTCTGCACCAAAGGCGCTAGACCATTTATCGTACGCCGGCATCACCGTCTTCCCAATCTGGGGGTGAGGTACGAGGTCCAGGTTCTGCTATTACTCATTTGTCTCATTGACTTGACCAAACACACCTTGCATACCACAGATGTGCCCGGGTGTGGTATAATTGCGTAGGTGTCTACCTTCTCCGCTGACTGCAACATGTGCAGATATTACGAGGCCGCTAGTGCAGGCCTCACATTGTCCGCACCTCGAGAATGGCAGCCAAGAGCTTGCTGTTCTGTTTGTTTCAACTTGACCAAACACTCAGACTATCCTCATTGCGCACTTGATCAACACTCCTTGACTATCTCTCGCGGTAATCTGAGCTATCCAACCTTCTCCATGCTCTTCTTTTCGTCTATCTTGTCCGTCCATTCTCTCGAATATCTACTCTCAGATTCCTCACAGCCCGAGCAGTTATCAACATGACTAAACGATCCAGACGTCTAGCGTTGAGACGGACAACCAAAGCTAGATCTAGTTATCAAGACTGCGACATTGATTCTTCTGTTATCGGCAAGAGAAGAAGAACCGACCACCTTCAATTACGCAAAAGGCAGGGTGCAAAGATGAAGACTGGGCCAGATGTCATGGTAAGAGAATCGACAGAGACCACCATCGCGTCATCTACAGAGTCGTCGTTTTACGATTCTTGCTCAACCGGATTATGGGACACTGATGCCAATTCCGATGGGCATGAAGATTACCCTCACCTCGACGATAACGATTTTCCAAACACTGCTGATAGACTCAACCCTTTACTAAAACTAAGATTTAACAACAAGAGGAAATGGAGCTACAAAAGACCAAGACTTCTTTTTCGAGCTTTCGAACCTCAGCATGGACTATGCGCTCGACGCTTTCAAGACTCAGCTACATCGATACCTCGGCCACCAACTTACGGTGGTGACAAGTTCCGAAAGTTGGTCTATCGACATCTCATTACAGATAAATTTCCGTCTCCTTTTCTATCCTGGACTGAAAATCCAGAGAGGGCACTAGAAAAACACCTCGCTAAGAGTTCAGAAAGACGCTCATTAGCCATTGTTGACTACAATGTGCTCGAAGACGATTTCGAAAAATTCCACGGTATAGGCACTGGGCCTTGGCTCGTGCCGAAAATCTGCGAAACTTATGTATTCAATGACTTACAGAAGATCAACAAACGTTGGCCTCCTCGCCGGGGTGTGAAAAGGAGAAAAGGTTACAAAGGGACTGGCGAGGTATGTATTTCAGCATAACATCCTAGCCTTTCGCTTCTAACGAATCAATCTTTACAGTTCCTTATATGGGGTTCTGTCCCTGGTGATCCTGTCGCCGTACTAGCTTATGAGGAAGCTGTACGTCTAATGGACGAAATGAAATCTCTGTCAAGTATCAACTACGCGTCTGGGGTAGCCTTTAGCCGAGTACGGATCGATTCTAATCGTGCCTCAAGTTTGACTAACGACCATAGTTCCTGAATAATGTTCCGCCTAAATACAAAGCAGTGGTGGCGCGTAAACTTCTCCATGCCTATCAAATTCCCGGGTACGAGAAAGACCGTCATTTCGAATCATTCGTCCGCGGAATCTACGGCGATCCTCCCAATTTCAGCGACTTGGACGCACACCTCGACGAAATTAATCTGGGTCATGTTCTCAATGGTTCAAGCAGCGCAAATCCTATTCAGTCACTGAGATCTATGCGGGACGCAAAGAAGATAGGCATTACAGTCGCAGTATCGGCGAAGCACCGTCAATCAGCAACTTTTCCTATTCCAGATGAAGGTACCCAGTCTCTTCTGAATACTCAACTGGCCGAGATGAGATCGGAGTTTGGCGTAACTACAGAGCCCTTTGATAGCTCTGCATCTCCTTCGAGCGACACTACAGGACTAAACCCCGGAAGGCGAAAGACGCCTGAATACGATTCCGACCATGGCATAAATTGGCACTCTGATCCAGGGAGATTTAACATTAACAGCTCCGTAAGGGGGGGGGAGGAGGAGGAAGAGGAGGAGGAAGAGGAGGAGGAAGAGGAGGAGGAAGAGGAGGAGGAAGAGGAGGAGGAAGAGGAGGAGGAAGAGGAGGAGGAAG